ATTGTCATAAATCATAACTTTTTTTTGTCACAAAATCATTTTAAAAGTCTCTCTCTCTCTCTCTCTCTCTCGCATAATGTATGGGACTTTACATTAAGCGGAAAAGTTTTATTTTTCTCTAGAAATTGCATTTTTAGTATTAAATTTCCACTTAATTTATATACACGAGACTTGGGATGAGTTTTTCATTTCATTAAATATTAAATTAAAAAAATTACACAAAAAACCACTGAAACTGAGACACAAATCAAATGTGCATTTAATGCCCAAATATAGTCGTAAATAGTTTTGCAATAAGACTTTAAAAGTAAAAGTTTGTGATTATAATTGAAACCCTTTTATAACATTAAAACCTTATATAATTAACAGCAAAATAAATACAACAAAACAAACAATAAAAATGAAACAAAAAACTAAACACAAAAAAACTTTTTTCGCCGACAAAAGTGGGCGTATTTTTTGAGACAAATGTTTAAATAATACACTTATAAACGATTTTCACGTTTAAAATACCATTGGATTTAGTGTTGAGTGAAAAATAGTGTAATTTTCACTTCAAAAACAACACTAGATTTTCAAACACAACAACAAAACGACACCAAAAATAACATCAAAATTGTCTTTTAAATACCAGATAACACTTACCACTGATGGCTGATTATCACCACAATTGGTACCGATTATATCCGACACCAAAAACACCACAACAACCGATCTCTTCAAGTCTTTGTGTCAATAGTTTTTGCAAATCAATGACAAAAAACTGTTGATTAAAATTATCCCAATTTTCACAGCAATTCAAACCATAAGTTTAGCCAATGTTTTGTACAAAACCAATAATCAGTTAATTATTAATCAGATGTTTATTACTAAATATCTGTTGCAATGAAAAGCGATAATAAATTAAAACATTAAAAAACTTTCCATCAAAACAAACGCAACAAACAATTAAATACTAAAACTTTTCACTAACTCTTCAAAAGTTTTGCAAATTAAATACAAAAACACAACTCATATATCAAAACACGTGTAGACAATACACACACGTGTATACTGTCTATAGTGAACAACACTTATAGTGAAGTTATAATTATGTAAAATGTATTTTCAAAAGTGTTTTACAATTAAATGCCTATTAATTGTATGGCAGAGACTGACAGTGAATGCACTCAAACACTACCATAACATGTATGGCATAAACACAGTGTAAGCATAGCATAGACTACACTCTCCGATGCATTCACACCACAACTGATGTGATGTGTGTTTGAACTCAAGCTATAAACACATCTCACCCTCTCATCAGTCACGTGACCGCCGATCAGCCAATCACACGCTCCGTACCAAACGCTGATACAGTGTAACGCTGGTATTGCGTACACTTTTTGCACATTTTGGGTATCACTTGACCAGTGATTTCATCATTAAATCTATGTTTAAATATTTAATTTCTATAAAATCATACGAAAATTAATGCATAGCACTATAAAAACCATAATTATAGCCAAACAATACATACAAACGCTGGTATAAGCGCTCAAAAAGTAGTGCCCATAACAAAAAGTTTGCATACATTTGTGCCAATGATTTGGCGGCGATTTGTACGCAACGAATAGCGCGAAACACGAGTATAGTCTGTGCGCGCATTCACTACACCATTGAATGCAATGGTAAACACACTGTAAGTGTTGTGTATGTGTTGTGCAGTACAGTCGCCGCACAGTTGTGTTGTACTCGCCGTTCACTGCGACTACAAAAGTGAGGCGCGATTTGTCTGTCAAACAGTACAACACATCCCAAACACTGTTTGAAACACTATTTACTAAATCATATGTGAATTATATATAGATTTTATTTATAGGTTTAATTCAATTGTGGCTATAGTTAGGCAAAAATGAGGCACAAGTTTATCGTGTATTGAGTTTTTTTGCTATTTATTTAGTGTTTGTTTTGTTTTGAGTGAAACTTTTGTTTTGTTTGAGTTTTTGTGAGTTTTTTTTGGTTCACTAATTGGTCGCCGACTAACCGATGGCCGGCTTTGAGGGCAAAAACTTTTACTTTGATTTACAAAACTCGCCATTAATTGCCAAACAATTGTCTCAATCCATCACTCAATTGGGAGGGGTATGTATGGCACCCGACACGGCGAGGGTGTGTCCACCTCTGCCACCGCCGCTCTCGAGTGTCGATCACTTGTCTTATCACTGATTTACTAATTGTCTTATTTTTTTGTTTGTCGTTTAGGAAATCAAAGAGTTTCTCGACCAACGAGTGAAGTATATAATCACTTCGCGACCCAAAGACCAGTGGCCGCCGAAGAAGACAACGCCAGTGATTCAGGACAAGTCCCGGCACCAGTTGGAAGCGCTCAAAGAGCAGACCATTCAGTCGCCAATCAATTTGAACAAGAATTCAAGTTTTGTACGCAAATTGTTGTCTATATTTGTCGACACAATTCACTAATTGTTTTCATTGTCTTTTATGTCCACTGAATGTCCAGTCGAGGGGATCGTTGCTGTTGTCTCGCATTCGGGCCAATACTGTGGCCAATGAGTCGAAACCGGTAGTCCTGCCGACCGACGTCTTAGAGAGGGGTCGGCTCTGGAATATACAGATACTGAACGCCTTGGATGTGCTCGAGTTCTGCAAAAAGCATTTGAGTCCACGAGTGGTCAGCGAATGTGCCGTCAATTCAATACAAACCCGACGACTGAAGGGACCGCACCTGAAGGTGGAGGACAATCGCCTCCAACACCGACCCCTCTATAAGGAGTTCTACGAGTGGCCGACCATTAACTTTGAATTCCAAGAACTCTTGTGTCCATTCGTTAAGAAAAAAGTGCAAAATCGCGACAAACCTGTGGAACCGATTGAGTCGCTCGAAGGGCTGGCCGTCAAGCGGTTTGAGGCCAACAATAAGACGCCGAACGCCAAGAATGCGGACAATAAGTGTTTGAATGAAAACAATAACATAAATAACACCAACAATAAGAGTCATAAAAGTAAGACAAAGAGTCCGAAGTGTGTGACGAAGAGTCCGCCGAAGACACCGCCGAAAGACGTGACACTAATTAAGAAGAATCTAATCAAAAGGCGCCGAACGCCCGCCTATTGTGAGATCTGTGGCGTTGAGTTCGACGACTTGGCAGAGGTTTGTACACAATATTGTCGTCGGTATTGATTTCATAACCAATTCATGTATTTATTGTCCTCTCAATGGAATGAATAGCACCTGAAGAGCGAAGACCACGAGTCGTACTCCAGAAACGACGACAACTACAAAGAGCTTCGAGGAGTGATTCAGTCGTTGCAGCCGTTTCTCGAGACCTCGAGTTCCGCCAAATGTGTTAACTTTGACAGCGATTGCAGCGACGATACCGACTGCGACGACAACGACGACCACCCGATCCAACACTCGGACGGCGACCTCCCGTGCAGTCCATTCCAGTCGACGCCCAACATGTCGACCACCATTCAGTTGTGCGGCTCTAAACATAAGTCCCATTTCCTGCCCATTCATGATCTCGTCGGCAATCACTCGCCTCTTGAGCTCATCGAAGCCGATGAACACCCGGTGGTGGCGGAGGAGGAGCTCCACGACGGCCACCACTGCCGGCGCTCGTCCGACACCGAGTTAGAGGTCATACCGGCGTCCATATCGTCGCCCAAATGCCCACTAAAACAGACTCTTAATTACGACAAGTGTTTGTCAAGTGATTCAACACTGAATGCCATATCAGAAGAGTTATGATTATAATCTAGTTTTAAGTCAATTCGTGTTTATAATAATTAATTTTTATAATTAGTATTAGATTTTGAATCTAAACAAGAGGTGAATGTATGCGAAAATTAAGTGTTTTTTTGTGAATGAAATTTCATTGAAAAAATTGATTTTTTATTAAATTTATTTTAATATTCTTTTATACAAATCAAATAATAAGTACTCTTTTATATATCAATTATAATAAAAACAATTAATTAATTAATTATACAATTTTCTAATGGAAATTATAATAAATAATTGGTTCACATATTTATAATAACAATTGATTGGCCGACAAAACAATTCAAACAAAATCATAAGTGAATAGAGAGCCGAANTTATATATCAATTATAATAAAAACAATTAATTAATTAATTATACAATTTTCTAATGGAAATTATAATAAATAATTGGTTCACATATTTATAATAACAATTGATTGGCCGACAAAACAATTCAAACAAAATCATAAGTGAATAGAGAGCCGAAAAAAGAGAGAGAGAAAGCAAAACAAGCATTCATTCAAATGAGTTATTACTTCGAGAATCACACGAATAATGAAATTATTATTCAATAAATTATTGTATAAAACAATGAAAAATACAATTTGTATGACAAACGCGCGGAACAGTCATAACACTGTTAGGGGGCGGACACAAGGGGTACAGGAGGTGTCTGAGAGACAGTGTGTTTGTGTGTAGTATTAAAAAGTGTGAGCATTACGACAGACACCGCAGCCGAGAGCGAACTCTTCGCCGGTGGGCGGATGCACGACATGGAGCGGACACTCGTCGCCGTCGAGTTGTTTGCCGCGCGGACCGGCCGGGCATTTGGGAAACTCGCGCAGATTCGTCAACTTCTGGAAGTCGTCGTGACAGGCGTTGCAGAAGTGAGTGCTGCCGAAGCAGAAAAACACTGCCACAGAGCAACAGTAGCGGCACTTGTACTCCAGGAAGTCGGTGCCGTGTTTGGGACACATCTGAGCTCTGGCCACATCGGAACAGCCGCCGCACACCAACTCCGACGGGTCGTAATTGTCACCGGCGGCCAACTCGGCGTCACAACGGGCTTCGCCGCCGTAGTAGGCCTTCTGGCACTTACAGCACACGTAATACGCGTACCTCTCCATCGCGTAGTTGGCCGCGTCGTTGTAGAAGCGGCCGCCGACTCCTGTGATGGCTTCGCATCGATGGAGGCCTTCGTACTCGAGTCGCATCAACGCCTTGCGGTACACGTCGTCGTAGAGGCCGCGTATGGGCGCCAACAGGTCCTCCAACGTCGAGTGCTCGATACGGCTCTTGCATATCGGGCACATAGAGAAGGCGAATGTGATCCGCGGTCCGGCCCATCGGGTCCGCAGTACGGCTCGCGTGCAGTGGTCGTGATACACGTGCCCGCAGTTGAGTTGTAGGGCCGGCGCGCACGACAACGCCTCGCAGAAGCATATCATACACATGTCGTCGCCGTCCTGTTTGAGTTGTCCGCCGCCGGCGCAGCCCTGAAGACACGGCAGACACTTGCGTTCGTTGGCGACGCCACCGCACTGGTGACCGCACCCGAGGGTCTTATTGCAGGCGCTCTTCGCGTACTCCTGACACTCGGATTCGCTGCACACGTTGCCGATGGCCAGAAGGCCTGTGTTACCGGTGGTGCCGCAGAAACGACACACGCCTGTGATGGCTGTGGTCACCGATTTCTCGCCACTTATTATGGAGCTCTTGGAACGGGTGGACTCGCCCTTGAACTCGACCATCGCCTTCAACGTCTTCGAGTCGGCCAAAGCCATCGNGAAACGACACACGCCTGTGATGGCTGTGGTCACCGATTTCTCGCCACTTATTATGGAGCTCTTGGAACGGGTGGACTCGCCCTTGAACTCGACCATCGCCTTCAACGTCTTCGAGTCGGCCAAAGCCATCGCCCAAAACAGTTTGATTCGACCGCAACCCTCGTGCAGATCCACACGAATCGCCTCCTCTTCCTCTTTGAATATCTGTTTCGATCGATTCAAACGATTGTGTTATAAGTATTGTCGCCAAATGAGGTGATCGTATGGATCGGATAACTCGTGGCAAACAATATACCTGTCTTTGATGGCTACGAGTCTTTGAATGTAAGTGCAGATAACGGTCGCATTCGGCGCACAAATTGCCGCAACTGTTGCACAGTATGATTGCCGGCGTCTCTCCATCCTCGTGGTTATCGCACAGCGGCTGCAAATCAAAGACAAAACACAGTTAACACACGATCGCAATGAATAATGAATGGCAACTGACTCTTGACTGTTGGTTCCCATTCTCCTGATCGCCGGCATTCACCCAATGACTAGAGGACAGGCGTTCCGCGTGTTCTTCTTCTATCACACAAAGTGAGGCCAAAGCCAGCCATAGGGTCGGCGTTTTGATGCACTCGACGGGTCCTCTCATGCGTTCGGCAATGAGTGTCAGATTGAGTACATTCTGTGCGATGGCGTTCTTCGTCACCACAGCCCACGAGTCGCTCAGTTTGCCGGCACTCATGTCCTTCAGTAAAGCGATTATACATTCGGACAGTTTGCGCGATAGGCAGCCCCGAAGCCACCACCGGTCGCCCAACGGATCCCTCGGATGTATGGCTGTGGCCAACGTTATTGTGGTCACACTCTTATTGCCGGCGCCGACACTGCCCTTCACTTTCGTCTGAACGGTCAACGACTTCGCAATACACGCCAGGAATACGTCCAAAATGCCGATCGACTGGACGTCGAACTCGTCCTTATCGTTGGACACAATCACGTCTCGCGGCGGCAGTGAAGCGATGCCAAACATTTTGCCGAAAACAATGGGTTTTATTTCGGGCAAAACCCGACGCAAAAGCGCTATCACCTGTCGCTGCACTCGAGCCGATCCGGTGTGCAATAGATTCAAGAGGTCGAGCAGAAGGTCGTTCTGAAGGGCCAGATATTGTCGGCCGACTGACGACCCGCTCAGAGCCAACACCATTGATAGCATTTCGAAACAGTAGGCGTCGGTGATCCGGTGTGCAATAGATTCAAGAGGTCGAGCAGAAGGTCGTTCTGAAGGGCCAGATATTGTCGGCCGACTGACGACCCGCTCAGAGCCAACACCATTGATAGCATTTCGAAACAGTAGGCGTCGGACGGTATCTCTCCGCCGACGGACACCGACGACGACTTCGAGCACAACAACGCTTCCCATTCCTCTCGTTGTCGAATGGCTTCCACTCGAATGGCCTGAACGATATGCGCGCACACCTGTCAACCAATCAACAAACGAATCAATCATTAAGACTACACATCAAACAATAGCCGTACCTGTTTCTGGAGATGGGAAAGTTTTCCCGATTGGCTGAACAGAATGCCCACCATATCGAGCGCATTCAGTAACCGGCGTGGCAACGGTGGCGAAGGCGGTAGTTAGTGACATAGGCTACCGTCTGGGCTGCCAAGTAAGAATTGCGAGAGACTTAGGCGAAGAGGACTATAGTCAAAAGGCTTGACCTGTTCATTGATTGCAAAGCAAATCAAAATTCATTATAAGTATTGAAAAACTTATGTTTGCGTGAAATGAATGCAAATACCTGTGATGTAAGCAATCGGAAGACACGAAGAGTCTCGGCCTCGCAATTGGTTTGTTGTGTTTGAAGGCAACTGACGGCCGGTTTGTGTCGGTCCTGGGATTTAGGGCCAGTGGTGCCCAATATCTTGATTTGTCTCAAACGCAACGTATTGTCCGGTCCTTTGAGCTCGAGTTTAATGCACTTCAGAGACGACTCGACATAAGGTATAACACAATAGAGCCTGCTCGCGTAAGTCATTGGCCGCACCGTTGCCACCGCTTCCGCCATCAATCACTGTATCCGATGGCAGACCCGACGGTTCATTCTTAACGCTCTCTGAATCCGCTTCTCCTGATATCAGTTTTCCGAACACCTGTTCATTGATTGCAAAACAAAGTAAAACTCATTATAAGTATTGAAAACTGATGTTTGCGTAAAATGAATGCAAATACCTGTGATGTAAGCAATCGGAAGACACGAAGAGTCTCGGCCTCGCAATTGGTTTGTTGTGTTTGAAGGCAACTGACGGCCGGTTTGTGTCTGTCTTGGGATTTAGGGCCAGTGGTGCCCAATATCTTGATTTGTCTCAAACGCAACGTATTGTCCGGTCCTTTGAGCTCGAGTTTAATGCACTTCAGAGACGACTCGACATAAGGTATGACACAATAGAGCC